GGAGGCTGCCGCTTTTGCTTACTGAGTAGATGAGCGTGGGTTTACTTCCAGGCTCCTCCAAAATAAAACAGTTGCCATGCTTGAGCGAATCCTGACCTATCTCCTACACAACTATGCAACTCCGTAGCATCTATGGGGGCGTCGGTGAGTCGCTGGCCTCCCGTTAAGTAGATGTTGCATCAACAATATCCTTCCTTTCCACAGTAACGGAAAAGATGGGCGTGGCCGGCAATGCTAATGGTCATGCTTTTCCTGTTTTAAACTTTGATTGAAGAACTATTCACTCCCAAATAGCTTTCTTTAAGCAATCAGAATAAGAATGTCAAAGTTGAGACATGACAGTTACCAGTATGCAATCTACGAATATGGTTCCCGTTTCACCTGTGCATACAATGCCTTGGTTTTCTTTGCATGCACGTAACCTATAGCTCATACCGTAGTAGGCTGTGTATAAAATAAAATGATTTACTTAGTTTGACAGTTGCACCATGCCGAAGTGGCAGCGTATTCGTAGTTTGTCCCACCTGCAAATGTCGCAAAAAGACATTTCAATCGCCCTGGGAGTGTCCCGGTGGACCGTCAAAAGGGTTTTAGACCGAGAAAAGAAAGGACAACTATCCGCGAAGGTGGTCACAGGTCGTTCGAGGTCAACTCGGGTTCCGAGGGTTATCGCTGCTATCTAAAGGAAGATTCTGGTGAATCCAGTGCGTTCAATAAGGAAAATGGCAAAGGAACACGGGATCAGTGACACGGAAAATCGTAAAGGAAGATTGCGGGGCGAAGTCGAGGGCACGAAAAAAAAAACTCACATGATTACCAACCGCGTCCGGGAGCTATGAGTCGAACGATACAAGAAAATCTTGAACTTCTTTAAGCGAAAAAATCCGGTAATCCTGTTCACCGACAAGAGCATGTTTACCGTCGATCCCGTATCAAATTCCAGAAGCGACCGGTTTATAAGTTCTCTTCCGGTAAAAAAAACGTGGCCGACGAGCAAAAGAACGTGTATCTGACCAAGCATCCTGCTAGCGTTATGGTGTTTGGATTGGTGGCTTCCGATGGCAAAAAATGGACCCAGTGTTCATTCCAGAAGAGGACAAGGTCAACACGGAGGTCTACATCGGGATTTTAAGTAAGTATGTTCTTCCGTGGATCAAAGAACAGTACGGTCCGAAGCCAAATGTTGTATTTCAACAAGATGGGCCTCTGTGCCACACCTCGAACCGCACTCAGAAGTGGTTGCAGGAACATCTTCCATTCTGGGCGAAGGATATGTGGCCGCCATCCAGCCCCGATCTTAATACGCTGGATTACTCAATATGTGGCGTCATGAAGGCCAAGGCCTGTTCTAAACGCCACCCGAGTACAGCAAGCCTCAGACAAACATTGACCCGTACCTGAAGAGAAATGGATCCAGACTACATTATAAGAACCTGCCGTGCATTCTGGAAGCGTATGAAGGCCGTAATTGCAGCAAGTGGAAACTAGATCGATGATTAACATAGTTTAAGACTCTGAGAAACATCCCCCCTTTGAATAAATAAAAAACTCAAAAACGAAATTTTTTAGAATTTTTATTTAATTTTGACGTTGCTTAATGGTGCAAACATTATCACGCATACGGCAACTATCTGAAAATAACTTGCCATTTTGGGATTTAAACTGTTATTACAATAGGAGATTATCATCAGTATACAATAATATTACAGTCAGCAAAATTGACCATTTTATCAAAGACTCACCATCTTGAATCCAATATTTGGGAAATCTTCTTAAGTAACACAAATTCATTGAATTATGTTGAGTAAACTGCATGACAACCAAATCATGTCATCCAAAGGTTATGTAAACTATTATAGAACATGTGTGTTGCTTGGGTTCCACAATCTTAAATCAACCATTTTGAGAATCATTCACCATCTTGGAATTCCAATTGTCATTGCAATTACTATAATATTGCATTCAAAGAGATCGATCATATTGTAAAACATCCGCCATTTTGAATCCACCATTTTGAAAATCATCCATCCACCATCTTGGGATTTAAAATAATCATTGCAATAGCAGAAATGTCATGAATATACAACAATATTGCAGTCAGGAAGATTGACGATCCATCATCTTGAATCTACCATTTAGAAAATCTACCAAGGGGGGTGACTCTATCTAAGATGCAGGAAAATTTTTGCTTTACTTTTGTGAGATGCGCGCACACTTAATAGATGATTTTTTTTTTCGTAGTTTGATTTGCTAACGTGAGATTTTTTGACCATCTAAAATTGAGATTTGGGTGTGTCGTACCCCTCGAAATCTACCGCTATTTTGACCGTAATAATCTGCAATCTTGGAAATGAAATTGTCATTGCAATATCAACATTATTGAATTAATTTATTAATACATTACATTATATACAATACATTATTAATTAATTAATATTACAATATTGCATTCAGGTAGATTGACGATTTTATCAAAGATCCGCCATCTTAAATCCAACAGGTAAGCACAAATCATCGGTAAGAGACGTGTGTGTGAGAAAATTTGCGAAAAAATCTAAGAGCACCGGTGAGATTCCAACCCACAATTCCCATTCAGTACACGATGATATGTGCTTACCTCTCAGTATGTTCAAACTTTCCTATAAACAATTAAATTGACTGCAAAGTCGCTAAACCGTAAATCAAAAAATAAATCCAACATTTTGAAAATCACCCACCATCTTGGATTCACCATTTTTTGAAGATCGACAGCCATTTTGGCATTGAAATTGAAATTTAAATAGTGGTCAAAATGTCAATAAAGGGTGATACGGTCAAAATTTGGTCAAGGGAAAACGCGTGTAAATCGGTGAAATCGTTTATTTAAAAAATCAAATTAAATTTCTTTTTCAAGTTCAATTAGTATAAAATTCAGGAAAAATATTCAGTTAGGCTTCCGCTTTTCCAAATCCGAATTGCCGGGCCTTACGCTTGACCCCTGCCATCAGATTTTGTACAGCCACCTTGTCCACCTTCTTCGCCGCAGAAAGCCAGTTTGCCTTGAACTGCTGCTCGCCCTTAGCAGTTTTTTTGGTCTTCTTTAGGTTCCGCTTGACAATAGCCCAGTATTTCTCAATTGGGCGGAGCTCTGGCGTGTTGGGAGGGTTCTTGTCCTTGGGAACCACCTGCACGTTGTTAGCGGCGTACCACTCCATGGCCTTTTTACCGTAATGGCAAGATGCCAAATCCGGCCAAAACAGTACGGAACAACCGTGTTTCTTCAGGAAAGGCAGCAGACGTTTATTCAAACACTCTTTCACGTAAATTTCTTGGTTGACAGTCCCGGAAGCTATGAAAATGCTGCTTTTCAAGCCACAGGTACAGATGGCTTGCCAAACCAGATATTTCTTTGCGAACTTTGACAGTTTCATGTGCTTGAAAACATCTGCTACCTTTCCCCTTCCTTTTGCCGTATAAAACTCCTGTCCCGGAAGCTGCTTGTAGTCGGCTTTGACGTAGGTTTCGTCGTCCATTACCACGCAGTCAAACTTCGTCAGCATCGTCGTGTACAGCCTCCGGGATCGCGCTTTGGCCGTCGTATTTTGTTTATCATCGCGATTTGGAGTCACTACCTTCTTGTAAGTCGATAGTCCGGATTGTTTTTTGGCTCGATGCACGGTTGTAGACGATACACCCAGCTTATTTGCGGCATCTCGGAGAGAGAGGTTAGGGTTTCGCTTGAAACTACCGGCAACTCTCTTTGTCGTCTCAGCGGCTTCCGGTTTTCGATTTCCCCCCGATCCAGACTTCCTGGCTGTCGACAAACGTTCCCCAAACACTTTAATTACATTTGTAACGGTTGATTTGGCAACTTTTAGCGATTTTGCCAACTTTGCGTGCGAGTAGCTCGGATTTTCGCGATGCGCGAGCAAAATTTTGATACGCTGCTCTTCTTGCTTGGATGGCATTTTGACAACTGAAGAGTGAATTCCAAAATCAAAATAGGAGCAACATTCTACACACACACACCTTCAAAATGAGGGGTGTTCAGGTTTTTTAAATGCAAAATTGAAAGAAATACGTCAAGTTGATATTGACCAAATTTTGACCGTATCACCCTTTACTCCCCTTTTGGGTAATTCGAACGGGTGTGGAGTCCAAACCAACGGAAAAGTATTAACTTTCACCTTAAGACATCGCATCTCCAGAATCCGATTCAAGGTATTCTCGTCAGTGTTTTCCTTTAAAACACACCATTCGTTACGGTTCACCAGCTCTAATATAAATTTGATCCAGTTCAGAATCCAACGGCAACCATATGTTCGCACATTTGCTCGATGATGATGATGATGATGATGATGATAACTTACGGACATTTTAACGTTCAAATGCTTTCGCCTTGACCTTGGACAGGTTTTTGGTTTTTTTGCGTTTGCTAAACTTCCCTGAACTTCTTTGGACTTTCCTGAAATTTTTGTTCCTCCATGACAATGTTCCTTAAATTATCAAGAAGTTCGTACAAGTTCATTAAGGAATTTCCCTCAAAACCTCACAATATTCCTGAGATTTTTGTAATTATCTATAATTTTCCGGAAATTCTTTAAATTTCCAGCAACTAATTAAAGAAACTGCTTTGAAGATCTCCAAGCATTCTTCAAATAGGTACCATGAATGTTCCAAAAAATAATGAACATCCCTGAAGTTCTCCGGACTTCTTTGAAGATCTCGGGTACGGGTACGGGTCGGGTTTGTATTAGGTAATTATAAAGCCGTTGGCCCTGCCCCATGTGTTGGTGGGTTCCATTTATAGGACACAGGCGTGGAATGGCTTTCATGGTGTCGGTGATGGGCACTACGTGTGGGACAGAGACCGAACAAAAATTAAAATGAATAAAATAGTAAAACATCTTCAGTGGAAAATGATGAATATTTTTATTGCATTTATCGTACCCTTCACAAAATAGAAGAATTAATTAAAGTCAACCGCACACGCAATAAGCTGAAAGTTTTTTTTCAATATGAAAGTTCAATTTCCGAAAGTGAGATTAATTTGATACTTTCCAGTATCGAACACATCGTAGGGGGTCAAATCCTGCGGAATAGGCCATACTTTATCCTTGAAAGTTGTAACATCCGGAACGACGCCATAAAATTGTCCATACTCCTGAATCGTGAACAGACATTTCAAGTTCAGTAGATATTCCAAAACGACTGCATCCGGAGTATGCTCTTCGTAATTTTCATCCAAGTACAGTGATTTGAAGGCTGATCCTGAAAATAAAGATGCTTGGTATGAACTAAGCTGATGTTTTAAACTCATCAATCACACATTACTTTCATCCAACTCTTCAGCACGCACCATTTTGGAGAGGGTGTACACTTGTACCATGATTCCGTTGATAGTCTTTTGAACCACATCGGGATCCTTCAGATCGATCACAGAAGGAGTTAAATCGTTTAAGTAATCGGCGAATCTCCAAACCAGCTTGCGGAAAAATCTCTACAATCGAAAAATTCAAACCTCCAATGAACTCTTGACGCACGCCGGCCGATTAACCGACCGACCGACCGGTCGACCGCCCGGCATGAAGTAACCCACTCGCACTCACCTGATTAATGTTATTATACACCAGCACCACCCGGCTACTTTCAAAGAGATCACTGGCAGCCAGATACCGCATGTACTCCCCGATGGTCTCCTCCGCACTTTCGACCATGTGCATCGAGTACCCATCAAAGTTGATCATCAGCCCAAAAAGTTTAATTTCGATCGACGTTTTCTCCTGCATCTCTTTGATCACCTTCAAGAACCGATCTCGAATCGTCATGGCCGAAACCTTCGAATGTCGTCCCACGTAAACGATTCGCTGAAAGTAGGACTTTCGCCCAGCGCACAGCATGTTGTCCTTGACGTGGTCGGCCAGGGTACGCCGGTTTTGGAACGACGGCAGCACCGTGTCCTCCGAGCGCTGCATAAAGTACGGCAGCGGCTTCTTCTTGGGTCCTTTTCCGGGAGTGGTCGACATCCTTGAGAACAACCGTTGACTTGACTTCGATTCTCAGCAAGAAGTGTAATCGATCTAAACAAGCTACCAAATAGACTGTTTACCCGGGACGAGCGGGAGTCAATCGCCCACGTAACCATGACATCGTACGGGTAGGCATGATTCCCATGGAAACATTTTGTAAACGCTGTTACTATATACAATTGCACACGCTGTTCAATCGCGATGGCAAGGTCGGCATGGAACTGCAATTCGCTTGGAGGTAGGTACCACCCTCGCGGATCTCTCACCCGCGAATGGAGTGGAATGGGAATGAACGAAACACGGTAATCGATGATGGGTAGGCTAAATATGTAGTGGCTGCAGTAGGTTTGCAAATGAACTGGCAGCTATTCTTTGAGCGCGGCAAACAATCAACATGTGTTCCGCCTAATTTGGTGCTTTAGGGCGCGTGCGAATGCGAACAAGAAATTTACCGCGATGATGGGGGGCATTGTGTTTGAGAAAGAGCTAATAAGTGTTGCAATCAATCATCCAGACGGATTGTTTGACCGAATTTTGGCAATTTTTACTGCACAGCTAGGGTAAGTGAGCCAGCCATGGCACTATTGCACTAGTTTTTGGCCCTAGAGCCTAATTGATCAATTGAATGATCAGATGCTTAAAGTTGGCGTATGTGATGTTTGGTATCAAATTAAAGGTAAAATAGGCAGCACCGAAATGTAAGTATTATTGACAATAATCATAGCTAGATGCACAATTAAAAGATAGTTAACTAGATCAACGATATTTAAACATGTGCATTCAATCTAGACGACTTCTTATTCTGCATGCACATTTGACTCTCCTTTCTTCTATTCTTTACCTATGCATCAACGCTTCTATGTTAATAATCAACTTAGCCCTCATTTATTTTTGGTAGATTTCAATCGACTCGCATAAGTGATGAATCATTATATATAACATATAAATTTAAATACATGTACAAAATACATGTACAAAATTGAACGGTGGGTCCAACAGGGTAGCCGATTGAAGCGATTTGGTAGGGGAAGCGTGGGAATGGCAGCTTCCTGTTGATAACATTTCGTGGATAAAGAGTGGGCTCTTTTCCCCACTCATTGGGGCATCTTCCTGTTTTGGGGCTCGTCTTTTAGTCAAATTTTGCGATCATGTAGTTGGAAGGAGATTCTTTACTGTACCGTAGGTTCGTATAGGACGGATTTCACGCCAACTCGTCTTCGGAGTTGGCAGCACCCTCTCAGAACCTTATGAAACTTTGTGGGTGTGGAGACTTAGCAATTTTAAGCAACTTTGAGTACTTATTTTTTTCAAAATTTATCTCGCCTAACATTTGATAAGGGTCAAAGTTTTTTGTCGATTTTTTTTCAAATCGATATAGCTTAAAAATGACAAGCCCTACAAAATAGTGATGTATGGCGAACTTTTAGCAAATAATCTGAAATTTTATAAAAAAAAAATTAAATAAATTAAAAAATTGGTTTCTACACTCTAAAAAAATATATTTAAAAATTAAAAGTCATTTTCCCAAAAATGGTACCCCTCAGATTTGCTTGATATTTTTTCTCATGAAAGACAATATAATTACCTAACTTTTCTTCATACATCGCAAAGTGGGTGCTTTTAAGGAAAAAAAGTTGTTCGAACAACAACTTTTTCATGTTAATTTTTTTTTAGCGTGTTTCACTCAAAGTCGAATAGTAATACGCGCACAACCTTATTAAAATTCGATTAAACTTTATGGGTATACTTTTCGATAATCTGGGCGAAATCTAGCCTAACATTTGAAAAGGGTACAGAGAAGTTACCTGCAAATCGTCCAATAAGAGTTCAGAACAAAACGTTCTAATGAGGAACAGCCATCTCAGCATGGTTTGCACTTTCCTGTGATGGATTGTATTATAATATATGCATACACTCTATCCAACTTCTATAAAACCACCCTCAAATTGTTCCAAATCAACAGGTAAACTAAGTAAAAATCACTTAGTATGTTTTATTCATGAAAAGATTTCAATTCATGTATTTGTGATTAATTTAATTAGAAAAATAATCATTCATTTATTTTTATGTATTAGGTGTGTCCATTAGTAAGCAATATGCATATATGTTTATACCTCATCTCTCAAGTGAATACATATAATAGCGCAGGTAACTTAACGATTATTTAAGGCATGCCTAAAATAATCATTAAGTTACCTGCTATATAGCAGTTATATAACAACGCAGGTAGTCACATGAGAGATATAAGGTATAAACTTAAAGCACCGCAGTCTGTTTCTACCGACATAATCTAATATTTAAGTTTGGTGATATCACAACAATGCTCATAGTTGCTGTAGTGCATAGTTGTTGAAAGTGTAGTGCTGCATAGTTGTTGAAACGAAAAAGTGTTTATATATACAACAATGGAAAAATCTGCTGAATTGATTATTAAGAGGGTGCAATGTAGTTCCAACATAAACAATCCCAATTGCAGCCGCAATAATTTACGTAATTTACCATCAAGTCTCATAGAGAAAATACATTCATGGGGCTTTGATCATCAATTGGATGTAACAATGCGTATTTGTGAATCGTGTCGTGGAATTTTAGTGCACAATAGGACACCTCTCCCGAAAAAGAGGCGATCGGATGGAAAAGAATCAAGCCATGCTCGGAAGTTTGAAGAGCCGCAACCATCAACAAGTCATCAGCAATCAGAACATCAGGAATTTGATGATACACTAGGTAAATAATAATAACTTTAACTGTTTCAACTGTGTGGTTTAAGGATTGTACATCGAAGATACAACTTCATTTTCAACATTTTTTTAGAGCACGAGCTGGATGAACCGCTTATCGTACAAATTTGATCGATTGGTAGGCCAACCTCGGTGAAATTCAAATATCAAATTTTCACGACTGTACGATATGCGAGCTGCATATCGTGCTCCACAAACATGGGGAAAATTCAGATGCGGCTTCGATGTACCGTAAACGGGGATGTCTTTGATAATGGAGGTAACTTTTAAATGCAGCTAATCCAAAAAGTTATGACTTAATGCTCTTCGTATTCATTATTTTGGAAGGGAACATCGGTTTCCTATCCAAAATATTGCGTAGTTTTCATTTATTAAAACACCATTCGAAATTCAGGAAAATCCTCTGTATTAGGCCCTTTCAAATGTAAGGCTAGATTTTTGTTTTAAGCACGCCCAGATTATCAAAAGGTCAAAATCTTTATGCTCATTAAGTTTCAACGGATTTTAATAAGGTTGTGCGCGTATTACTATTCGACTTTGAGTGAAACACGCTAAAAAAAAATTAACATGAAAAAGTTGTTGTTTGAACAACTTTTTTTCCTTAAAAGCACCCACTTTGCGATGTATGAAGAAAAGTTAGGCAATTATATTGCCTTTCATGAGAAAAAATATCAAGCAAATCTGAGGGGTACCATTTTTGGGAAAATGACTTTTAATTTTTAAATATATTTTTTTAGAGTGTAGAAACCAATTTTTTAATTTATTTAATTTTTTTTATAAAATTTCAGATTATTTGCTAAAAGTTCGCCATACATCACTTTTTTGTAGGGCTTGTCATTTTTAAGCTATATCGATTTGAAAAAAAATCGACAAAAAACTTTGACCCTTATCAAATGTTAGGCGAGATAAATTTTGAAAAAAATAAGTACGCAAAGTTGCTTAAAATTGCTAAGTCTCCACACCCACAAAGTTCCATAAGGTTCTGAGAGGGTGCTGCCAACCACTGGATGAGTTGGCGTGAAATCCGTCATAGGCGAATTTTCTTATTGATCCACCCAATTCGTTTTGGCCATTCATACAGCGACATGTTGAGGACAATCAGAGGTTATTAAGCTTGATAATTACAAACAGTGAAGAGAGCCTACTGCTATTGGACTTAGTTTCCGTGCTGGGTGTTAGACCACTATAATATCATGCATCATGAATCATAGACCCTAACTCAAATTTGAAATTAATTTCCATGATTTTATTTACGTGGATGTATGGTTAAATCTATGTTTTAAAGTTGTTTCAAAATAAATTTGGAAAATAATGGCAAACATTTAAATTTAAGATTGGATACATTAGAGAACCACTAGGGCCAAAAAGGAGCACACTTACCCTATACATTTAACAACATATTATATGATTTTTATGAAAATCTGTAATATAATCTTATATTTCCCGATCGATTGTGCAAAAAATAAACGTTTGTCAAAGTTTACAATTGAGAAAAGCCGTTATCAAATATATTATATTTACAATACCGTTCACTCTAAATTGTTTCCATAATTGCTTTTTTGTTTTTGCTGTAATTTGTTGTGAAAAGTAAATGCTGCAGAAAATACGGGAAAACCCTTTTAATTTTTGCTTTACAGAATCTTGCAGGAAATCAAGTACAGAAACAGACATAGCTTTCTATACATTAGTCAGCGGACAAGAATGCAGCGTTTCCAGATTGTTCTCAATCTTATCGGTATCGACAATTTTTCCTTAAAGCACAAAGCACAATTTTTAAAAAGCAAAAATCATGAAACTCAATCTCACCACAGTTTGGTGAGATTTGCAGCTGGTGAGTTTTGTTAGCTTGATATTCCGAGCTGCGATATCCCAGCAAATGAGATTCATTGCCCTTGAATCTAAAGTTTGGAAATTCTTGATTAAGAAATTCATCCCCTCCAGGAATCATTTCTGTTTTTAATACTTTAGGTTTCAAATCATGGATCATAAAAATCTATCTTTGAGCGTTACCATAATTTTCAATTTCCATTGTCTTGATTGGTTTGATTTTATTTTCTTCAGTTTTTGGGGAAATTTTCCCAATTTTAAAACTTCTGTACTTCAACTGTTCTCACTGTTTACTTCCCGTTCTTCTTGTTTATGGGTTGGAACAAAAATGGCCTTTATTGCATAATTATTTCTATTTGAATAACAGCAGCCTAGGGAAAGTGTGCCAGTAGACTGATGCAAAATTTGACGTTTTCGCTTC